TATAGGCTACAATAGAATACAACTAGAGTTCAAGACTAAGAGAGGAAAGAACCAGCATCTTTGATGAACAGTTTACTGTTTCACCTGGACAATACTACACTGGCTCTCTGTACTTGGTTTAGTATTCAGTGTGCTTAGAGTAGGTTAACCTACCTTGGCTACTTACTTATAACGTGCCAGGTTTGATCTGTAACCTCTTCATTTCAAAGCAATTGACAGGAACCAAGAGATGAGAAGGAGCTTTGCAAAAGGATTTGGAGAATTATGCCAATAAGCGGTGCTAGGTGGACAGTTAGTCTGACCTGCAGAAAGGCTGCTCCAAAATACTTTTACAGAAAGAAGTATCATATCCAGAGTGATATCTTAGTTAAAAGATGCTGGTGATCACCTTCTCTTAGTCACTTGACTCATCCCAATTTGGCAGCAGATGATCAGCTGGGGTTGTATCACTGCAGCTATTTTTACAATCCCCCCTAGGTGTTACAAAGTTAGCTGTTATGTCCTTTCCCATCATTTACAACCTCCTTTTTCCAAGCCAGGATGCCACTACCAATGGAAGATTCAGATGGATGCTCCACCTGCCTTCTTTCCCCTTCTAGGGGAAAGACTTTTTAACTACCATGATGTGGCTCCTAAATCTTGGGAAAGGTTAAGGATTAAATTCAAGGGTCACTAGTTCCCAAGATATACTTTGAACTCTGCAATATTGGCTTTATTTAGAGCTAAGTTTAAAGTAACTCCATTGGTTGATCTGGTCAACTAATGTTCTTTTGATGCTTTTATGGAACACTAAGCCTTCATGGATTCAATTTAAGAGTGACATGGGAATGGAGACTATGCATAGTATTAAATTATGGTCAATGCCTAATTGTTGTTGGAAAGTAGATCTGTCTCATCATATCCATCTTCTGCCTGATTTGTTTGCTGCCCTTTGAAGGCCCAAGAAACCAATCACTTATTGTTTTCCACCTGTTCCTATTTTCTTCTTTGAAGATAGATAAACTGGGAAGTTCCAAAGATTAGCAATGAAGACAATCCACCCATTCTTGACAAGTAAAATAGATAAGTATTTTTTAATCTTGGCAACTTTAAGCTATGTGGACTTCAACTCCTAGAATTTGCCAGCCAGTATGGAGTTTGAAAAACACTGTGATAGATACACATTGTTGCTCACTCTTGATGTCAGCTCTGCCTAGGTTTTTCAAACATGCTACCCAATTTTGTCTGAACTTTAGTCTAAAAGGAAGGGTGAAAAGTTACTTGTTTTTCCCCCAGATCAACCAAAATTGGTAGATAGTCCTTGTCTGATAACATCACTAAACACCAGAGCTGATGGTAGCTTACGTTTTAAAAGCCACATAACAATTATGCCCTCCAAAAGTTCACAATAAAAAGCACACTCTGTTTCAAGGATTTGCAACACTGCTATTTACTTGCTAAGTAACTCTTATTCCACCCTTATTATATATTGCAGAAGCTTTGTCTCTGCTTGTAATGAATCTGAAAAAGTCTGTTCTGCACTATTTTAATAGCAAAGAGGATTTTGGGGGGGGGAGTGGCTGTTACTAGAAAAACATACTTGTGCTACCGTTTATTACCAACAATTCAAAAATCTAATTCAGCTTCTGTAGCAGATAAAATGATAACTTTATTCTAATTCCCTCCATATGTTGCCCTTTTCTCTACTCTACCAGTTTATCACCAGTGGGGAATCTGAACCCACAACAAACTTCTACATCAGAGATTGGTCTTTACTCAGCTTGTTGGAGGAAAGAAAAGGATGAATGCTAGTTAAAATGTTAAAAACCCATGTTTTAAGTGTTAAGGAGCATCTACTATGACTTCATTTGGCCTTTAACTCCAGGAGTCACTAGCAAGGTTAAATCAAACCAAGAAGTCTTTCCCATAGCCATCTATGAAATCCAGCCTGTCAATATTTATTTTCCCTCCCCCTTGTTTGCAAAGGCATTTTATTTAATTATTTATTTTAGTTAAGATGTGTGAAGTGTTTCTGATTCATGGTTTTCATGACTTCAACCAATCAACCAACCTATCTTGAAATGTATGGAGAATCCGGTGTACTAACACTATAGTACAGGTAGTCCTTGACTTACAACCACAACTGACCTCAACATTTCTGTTCTAAGCGAGCCATTGGTTATGGGAGTTTTGCCCCATTTTACGACCTTTCTTGCCACAGTTGTTAAATGGATCACTTAAGTTAGTAAGTAAGTTAGTAACACAGGTATTAAGTGAATCTGGCTTCCCCATTGACTTCATTTGTGAGAAGGTCGCAAAAGGGGATCACGTGACCCAGGACCAGAGGTGGTATTCAGCAGGTTCTGACCAGTTCTGGAGAACTGGTAGCAGAAATTCTGAGTAGTTCGGAGAACCAGCAAATGCCACCTCTGACTGGAGATTTTGCAGTATCCTTCCCCTGCCAAGCCACGCCCACAGAACTGGTAGTAAAAACATTTGAATCTCACCACTGCCCAGGACACTGTAATTATCATAAATATGAACCAGTTACCAAGCATCCAAATTTTGAATAGGTGACCATGGGGATGCTGCAGCGGTCATAAGTGTAGGAAATGGTCATAAGACATTTTTTCAGCACCATTGTAACTTCAAATGGTCACTAAATGGATTGTTGTAAGTCAAGGACTACCCGTAAGCATTTTAACGTACATGAAAAAGTATTTTCCATGATCTGAGCAATGCAAAGATGTAGCTACAAATTAAAATTAGTGCTTTAAATCTAACAAAGCAGCAGCTTTGTGGTTATAATTTCATGAATCTACGCTGTATGAATAAAAAAAGAAAAATGAATAAAATAAAGTATGTTGTGTGTACTTTGTTCAAAGGAGCATCTCATGCTCTGCATCTAATTAAATTTCACTATAAAAACCAAAGGAAATAGAAAAATGTGATAGAACTGACAGAGGTAACAAAGTTAACTATTTTAATTAAGGAGAAGAATACATCTAGCATTGTTTTCACTTGGAAACTGTTTCTAGACTTCTTCAAAAGAGAAGAAAATGAAACTTTGACTTTGGATGTTAATGATTCAAATAGGTTGCTGTTATACAAATGGCTAATACTCACTAACTGTACAGATGTAAAAGTAGTGATTATAACTCTACTATATAATTTATTGGATCAAAAAAAAGTTGGAATCACTTTTTTTTCTTTTCCTCTACATTTTTGCTTCCTTTTTCTCTTTACCCATTTCTCTGTTCATTATTTTCATTTGTATTTTATATTTAAAAAGTTTAATAAAATTATGTCTACCAGTCTGCCTGCTTGCCTATCTATCCATCCCTCCCTCCCACCCACCGACCAAGATTTAAGATATGCTTCTTCTGCCATCACTTCAATATGATCTTCAGGATCATATTCTGTTCCTTTTTCATAAAATTTGGTTTTGTTACTATATCTCTTTTCTCCATTTGTGAATTGGAATGCAATAAGAAAGAATTGGCCCCACATTCAGGCTTAGTTCAAATAACTTAATTCAAACATTTTTTTTTACTACAGTGTCTGAATGTCATTCCTAAAGATCATTAACAGTGTTTATAGTCAGTGGGATAGTAGTTTGTGATTTAAACTTCAATCTTACAGAAATGTTTTATGGCATAAAATGGCTTTAAAGCTTGTTGCCCTTTAAACTTATTTTCATACCCAATCTATGGGTGATAGCACATTCTCTCAAAACTGCAATGTACAGTATCGTATTTAGCAAAGTTTCTAGATTCTTTAGGAAACAAATTGATATTATTATTGTTGGTGTGTTCCCTTAATTACCTCTATGATGTTTTTGAAATGAGAAAAAAATCAGCTCACAATCTATCACAATGAACCTTTTGAATAGGCAATATTGTTATTTCTAAACCATAAATAGTGGCAATTAAAAGATTAATTCAACTCCTGTTGTTAGCTGTCAGGTTAGCAAAGCATAGGAAAACTAAAATACATATTTTTAAATATGCCCCATATTTCAAGTGTAGGAAATTACTTGAAAAATTAGCCCAATTAAAGAACTTTAAAAAGAAAAATAATCAAAACTGCACACAATTTATTAGCTAAATTAGCAATATTTTCCCCTTTTCTCAAATTACCTTTGTCTATTCTTTTTTTTTATCTATTTGCTTTTAACTTAGTACATTGGGGGGTGGGTGGGTGTTGTTTTGTTTCTTTACTAAAATTGATACTAAAAATTACAAATTGGCACACAGCAAATGCACTTTAATAAAAAAAAAGTGCAGTAATAAACATATCAGGGTTTGTCCCATCAAGACATTGTTGTCTTACACACATATGTACAGAATAGAGCTGAAGATCCTTGGAGGTCTTCTAGTCCAGCCTCCTGCTCAAGCAGGAAACCCTATACCATTCCAGACAAGTGGCTGTCCAGTCCCTTCTTCATAGCCTCCAGTGACAGAGTACCCTCAACGTCTGAAGGCAAGCCCTTCCACTGGTTAATTCTTCTCATTGTTAGGAAATTGCTCCTTAATTCTAGGTTACTTCTCTCCTTGATTAGTTTCCATCTATTGTTTCTATTGTCTTCTATTATCTTGCCTTCTGATGTTTTAGAAAATAAGCTGACCCCTTTTTTTTCTGAGCCGGCCCCTCAAATATTGGAAGACAGAGGTGTGGTGAAAGATTATAGCAGTGTTTGCATCTTTCAGTTCTCAACCTGAGTGATATCCCTAGATCTTGACCTGGAAAAAGTCAATTTTACCTTTTTCTTTTTAAGAAAGCTCCATTTTTTTAGGAGTTGTTTTGGAAAGAAGAATATTTCTGCTTATCTTGCAGTAGACCTACAGAAACTCTTCCTTTCCAATTTTCCCAAAGAGGCCGCCCACTGGCTTACTGCTCGCTCTGCTTGTAGGAGGAAGAATTTGAAGAAAAAAATAATGAAAAGGAAAACTGAAGTGCTGCACAAATCTAGAAACTTAAAAAAGAGACATTTATTACTTTTTCCCCTCTACCACCATTTTTTTTTGTAAAAAATAAAAAATAAATACATCGCATCTTTTAAGGCTCCCAAGGTGGACTGCGCCTTCCGTCAACTTCTGTTTCTACGTGATACAGGACGTCTGCCAGTGTGTGCTCTACTACAGCCACCCAGCCCATGTCACTGACCTACAAGAAGGGAGAGAAAAGGGCGAGTTGCTTTGGTTAGTTGCTTAGTCACATAAGAAGTGACTAAGACTGAGCTTGTGTCGGCATACTTTGAAAAACAGAATTACAAGAGTCTGCAACAGAATATTAAGAGTCAATCGAACAGTACAATTCTTGACATGATTTCAAGGGGATGTGAGATTGGTACCCTGTTATTAGCAATAGCACTTAAGACTTATATACCACTTTAGTCCTTTACAGCCCTCTGTAAAGCAGTTTACACAGTCAGCATCTTGCCCCCAACAATCTGGATCCTCATTTGACTGACCTCGGAAGGATGGAAGGCTGAGTCGACCTTGAGCCAGTCAGGATGAAACTGCTGGCAGTCAGCAGAATTAGCCTGCAATACTGCATTCAAACCACTGTGCCACCATGGCTCCTTTATTACCCATTTCCTGGTAAGCGGACAAAGGCATTTCGAAAGAGTTCTGCCTTCAGTGGTGATAACACACTGGTAATACGTTGCAGAGCCTTTTGCATATTGGCCCATGCCCTTGAGATCTGGCAGGATCCTGCTTCCTTAGCTTTCTGGAAAGCCACAGACAGTTGACCTTTGGGGTAGCAAAGCTGGAGCTTGGTGGCTTGTATAGATTTATTTATTAAAGTTTTATGCCAGCCATCTCCCTTATAGAAGTGACTCTGGATGAATGTGCTTGGATTTTTTTTCTTGTCTGTTTGGGCAATTTTATGCTTGTGATCTTATTACTGCTGTTAGCCACCCAGAGCTGTGTCTCCCAAGATAGGCAGCCTGATAAAATGCCTCCTCCAAAGGCTTCCAGGCTCGGGGCGGAAAAGTGTTTGCATGCTGAATGGAGGTTTGGGGCAGTGAAATCGTGTTGCTTCAAGCTTCCAGTTGGCATGCAAACATTTTTCACGTGCAGACTGGAAGCTTCTGGATGCCTGATCCCACGGGACTTGAGGCACCCAGTCTTGTACTCAAGCACTTTGCCAATGAAAACTGAGCCGGGAGGGATGCATGCTCCCCTCCCGGCCTCCCTTCCTGTCAGCAAAGGCCTTGAGGAAAGGCCTCTGCCACTGTAAACAGAGACCCAGAAGAAAAAATGGCAAAAGGCTTTGCAAATGGAGGAAAAGCTTTGATGTTTCAGGCCTTCCCTCCATTTGCAAAGCCTTTTGCCACAGATTGTGTCCAGGCCTCCATTTGCAGAGAACAGAGGCGTAAAATACCATGAGATCTCAGGCCACTGATCGTGCGTGATCTTGAGAAACTTTAGGCTTCCATTCTCTGTGAAACGTACTGAAGGCCTGAACCACCAAAATAGGCTAAGAAACAGAAGGCTCCCTGGATCTTCGCAAGGTCAGTATCCACAGGCCTAGTTTGGGTGGGTGGGGGAAGAATAGGCAAGGCGAATGTTGCAGTGACTCGAAGGTTGTTCGTAAGGGTGAACGACTGCCATGGTGCTGCAACTTAAATGCACAACCAACTGAATATAACCTTTAGGAACTGCACATGGCCAGTGCACCACTAGCCTGGCAAAATTATTTCTTTATCTGTATAATTTTATATAGGGGCCAACGTGCATGTGGCATTCCTACTAGAAGCAAAATTAATTTGGCCAATGAAACTGAGATTTTCATTTACATGGAAAATGTTACAGATTGCTTGCACAAAAAGCCTTGGATCACATCCATTAAAAAAGGCACACATCATTCTGATCATCAACTTACCGGGCGATAACTAATATCTCTTGGCGGGTATTTGAAATAGGGCCCGAAGTTAATAGAAACCTATTGAAAGAGGAAGGGTTTATTTTTGTTTGTTTTCAATTATTGCATTGCTCAGTACTGCCTCCTGCACCTGCAATATTTCAACAGGTATTATTGGGGGAAAAGGATGCATCTGAAGAATTATAATGGAAAAGACTGAAGGGCAATTTTACCCCAAATAAAACAATTTATTTTAAAAAGTGTTAAGTTAAGAAAAGGGGGGAGACCTACTTTCTCATACAGATTTACAGAGGGTTTTTTTTGTAAATAATTACTGGAAAGAAGTTACTATGCTGCAAATTTTTCTACTACTATAAAAAAAGTCAGACACTCCTAGTTCTATGTTTGTGGCATAGCAAACTCCCTTTTCAGTTATCAGCCTATAAAATAGAAGTTTTTTTTCTTTACTAGTACAGGTAAGTCCTCGAGTTACAAGCACAATTGAGCCCAAAATTTATGTTACTGAGAAATTTGTTAAGTTTTGCTCCATTTTACAACTTTTCTAGCCACATTTGTTAAGTGATTTACTGCAGTTGTTAGCTTAGTAACCCGGTTGTTAAGTGAATCTGGCGTCCCCAATGACTTTGCTCATCAGAAGGTCGCAAAAGGTGATCACGTGACCCTGGGACACTGCAATGGTCATAAATATGAACCAGCTGTCGAGCATCCTAATTTAAATCACATAAGCATGGGGAGGCTGCAATGGTCACAAATTCACTAAATGAACTGTTGTAAGTTGAGGACTACCTGTAAAAAGGCTTCTGCTGAGAATCTGGATAACAACCTTCCTCTGCATTTCTGCACGTGATAAAAAATATATTTGTTTTCTTTCTTTCTCCTACTAGGCAGGTAAATTTGCAGAAGAGAAACTCTTATCTATTTTTCTCCTACTAGTCCAGTGGACCCAATCTTTTGGGCATCAGGGACTGGTTCTATGAAGAGAGGTTTTTCCACGGACCGGAGGGGGACCTGCTTTCGCATGATGCCTGCATCCCGCGAGTGGGGCTTGGCTTGTTGGTGCGGCCCAGTTTCTGGCATGCCACAGCCCGGTGTTGGTCCATGGACTAGGGCTTGGAGACCTCTGCATTAGTCTATATATCATTGTAAGCTCTCTAAACCTCAGAGAGCTCCTAGACCAACTTTGATAAATGCAAGGCTGACTTAGGCAAATATTTCTCCCAATGAACTCAACATTGACTCTCCTGCTTAATTCAAATCAGCCTACTGTGGTCTTTTCAGTCCCATGATGAGCAGCCACGGGACTTTCTAAAGGCAGAGGAGATGAGCCTCCCTGATGAGTCTACTAACCTTTTGCATGCAGATAAGGATGAATGTGGAGCTTTGACTGGGGAGAGTGGGGGCAGACACAATCTGACATCAACAGATATGTCACTGATCCACACTCCTTGTGCTAGGATCAGCCTGCTTTCAGGGGTCAGGCCTTCCCACATTGTATCAAGCCCCAAAGCAAGCAGACCTGAAAGAGCTGAGCTCCTCAGCTTCTACATACCGTGCAGCCTTTGTACAGAGATACTGCAGGGAAATAAACACCTTCAAAAATATCTCTGTATGCAACTCCTTGACTGGTACCATTCTTATAGAAGATTATCTAAAAGAGACAAACATTTGTCACCACAAGTTGCAGAGCACAACTATAATCTTCAAAGATTTCACTCTGACCTGCAACTTGCCCTTTTATGCACTTGTGTTTTAATAGCACACAACATATAGGCCCTTCAGGTTGCACCCTATGTTCTCCTAAAAAATGAAGAAAGGGCTTCTGTAGAGCATCCAAGAGACAAATGAATCACAAGATCTGACTCTTCCATTTTATAAAAATAGAAAACTATTTTTGGTGTTACAGAATTCTTAAGAAAATGTTCTTAAGAATTTGCGGAGATTAGAGATGTGCAATGTGCAATTTTATGCAATCTCTGAAATGCAGCTGATGAAGCTCTTTCTGCGGTTGAGATACTATTCAGGATCCTCAGCTTTCCCAAAGTTCATTTAAAATAATCACATTAAAGTCTTATAACAGACACAAGGGGGAAAAATAGGAGGGGCTAGAGGAGGGGGGGAAAGGCACAAGCTTTCCAAAACTGAATTACATCATATAAAACACCCAAGCAAAGTTTTGAATGGTTTATTTTCAAATAGCATTTCTAAGAGGAAGAGCTTTTGACAGGCTGTCCACAGAAATCACAAATTTCTACTCTGGTAACAGCCCTTGTTGAGGATACCTGGCTGAAAATATTCAATCTCTTCGCAATAGTATTGAATACAGGGACAAAGCAAAATTCAACAAACCACAATTTGATTATGATTCAGAGTTACAGGTGCCTATTATAAATTTACACTGTGATTTAAGGCAGAGAGGGGGAATATGGAGGCCTCCTGATATCCCTGGCCTTCCCACATTTCTCCACACTAGCTGAAACTCAGGATTTGCAGCTCAGTCATTTCTGAACAGGTTCAGATCTCTCTCCTATTTTAGCATTGTCCCCAGACCGGATCTCACTGAATGACCCAGAGCAGAGGTTAGCTAACACCTTTCTTCTTTTCTTTTTGGTGCGTGTGGGGGGGATTACTTTGAATTTTTGCAGCGAGGCAATGTATTAAACTCAATGATATAAAAGACCTCTTCCAATTCTACGATGTGCAATTCTTTTCAGCAGCCCAATGTCTGCTTCTAAAGTCCAACTTACTTGGCTTCCCAGAGCTTGCTTTAAACTTTTCTCAGCTTTGTCCACAAAGTCCTTCTCTTCAAAGTACAAGTAGCTTTTGAACTTGATCAAAGCCTACGGATACATGGGAGGAGACATCAAAGCCAGAAATTCATTTGTAAAACAATGATAAGACAGAAATGCAACTGCTGGTTATTGACACAAACGTAACTTCAATTGATTAATTCAACTATTCAGCAAGGAGTTGTTCTGTCTGCAACAGAAGTCACCACCTTCAGCAAGAATAGAAACATTCATGGATTATGGTGGGCAACTATCAAATATCAAGGACTGCAAATATGAACTGAACTTTAAGGTACATTGCAAAGATCAGCATCCTGAAAAGTCAAGATAGAAATCTATTTCAATACAACAAGAAAATTAGCAGCTCTTGTTTTCATTTCTGCTTGTTATTTGCTTGCAATGCATTATTCTGATCAAGATAGATAGGCTCTCCTTCCTAGTTTAATAAAAAATATAAAACAACTCCCAATTATTTCTGCTGCAGACTGAATAGAGAGTTCAGTATTCATGGAGATATTTGTTAGGGTTTAGTTTTGATTCCTGCACCAGGCAGGAAGAAGCCCATCTACAGTACTTGAGAGCCAGTTTGATCTAGACACCAGGCTAGAAACCAGGAGGCTATGAGTTCAAGACCAGCCTTAGCCATGAAAGGCAGCTGGGTGACTTTGGACCAGTCACTCTCAGTCAACTCACTTCACAGAACTGTTGTGGGGATATTAGGAGGATGAGGAGTTTAGATATGTTCACTACCTTCAGTTATTTATAAAAATAATAAAGGTGGGACGTGACTTAAACAAACACTTGGCTGTCTATGTATTCACAAAGTAAGTTTCACCTATGCCATTTTCTAATATAAAAAACACTTATGATCCTAAGGTATGCTACCCCATTAGTTTCCCAGTTTATTCTAGCTTTTATAGCATCCTGTGGAAATGCCCAGCCAGCTTAATTAAAAGACCTACCTTGTCTTTGTAAGTATCTGGCAGGGATTTAGCTGTTTCTGTGTCTTCAGGAAGGCTGATATAAAAGCCAAGCACGTCCCCCTGGCCATAACCTGACGAATAGTGTTTACCGATGGACTGGTGGAACTTTGTCCCTTTCTTGCTGCGCCAGGAATAACTGAATTTGTCATAACCAAGAGGTGCTTGAAGGTTTCCTGTAGAAAACCAAATGTTACGTTTGTCAAGTACTTGATTGCATTTGTCTACAGAATGCTTCAAAATGTTATGGGGGGCGGTTATTTTAGCAGAAGAAGATGAATTTAGTTCCTTGCTAGCCATTCCTGATATCTTAGATGGTATTGCTGCTTCTATATGTATCCTTGCCTATGCAATAAGCATGTATGGGTTACAAGCCTTGTGGAAGCAAACAATTACGGAAGGACTCGGGTAATAAATATTGTTTTCCACTGGTTTGGAAAGCAGGGAACCCCCTGGTCCAAGGAAACTGGCCAAGTTAAATGAAATTGAAGGGTGTATTCTTAAACAGATGCAGAGAAGGAATTGAGCAATTCTGCTTTCTTCCTACTGCCTATCACCTTCTTGCCATCTGCTCCCATTTGTGGACCGATCGTTTAGCCTGCCCCATCGAAGAGAAGGATTGGGGGGAACATGATAACTGTCTTCCAGTACTTGAGGGGACTGATTTGTTTTCCAAAGCACCAGAGGGCAGGACAAGAAGCAATGGACGGTAGCCTGTTAAAGAGATCCAATCTAGAAGTAGGGGAAATTTTCTGACAGTAGGAACAATTATTCAATTGAATAGATTGCCTCCCAGAGCTGTGGGCGCTCCATCCTGGAGGTTTTAAAAAAATAGACTGGACAATCATTTGGTTGGGATAGTATAAGGTCTACTGCCTTAAGCAGGGCATTAGACTAGAAGACTGAGGGCCCTTCAGCCCTATGATTCTAGGTCCTATGGATTTTTCTTTTCTTTTAATGACCCTTTAATCTCTTGCATCAGGGTGGAGTCAGGGCAACTGAATGGAGCTGAGCGTTTGCTGGCCAGATGCCCTTCCTGATACCTATGCAGTGTTTGCAGCAGAAAATTACTGCCCAGTGTGCCCAGAGAGAGAAATATCTGCCACTACTTAGGATCGAACTCACAGCCTCCTGACTGTAAGGCGAGAGTTCCACCTCTAGGCCACCATACTGTGATTTTAAGTTCTATGGATAAGGAAGATGAAAAGATCTGTGACAAAGCCCCTTCGTCCAATGCCTGCAAGGTCCTCAAAGGAAGAAAGGAACAGGCCGCAAACTAATGAAAGAAGGAGAAGCAGCTTACCTAAAGGCTGAGACCACCCAAGTCTGGCAGCTGTTTCGGGTGGCATCTCATCCACGGATATTTCAAAATACCAGGCCCCCTTTCGCACCCCATGTGAGGCTCGTACCATCGAGTACCCTTTTTCTCCAATGACTGTCAGCCTGTCATCTGAGATCTTCAACTGAGGAGCTGCATCGACAAGTGGGAGAAAGGCAAAGAATGATAAATATTTGTGTGAGTGTTGATCATGAAGAAATTAAACAATGCCCGGGAACAGAAAGTCTGTGAAGTATCTCTCTTCTCCTCTCTGCTGTATCACGCATTCCTGGTACAGTTTGTTTAATACACTACAGTGTATTTCAATTGACATACGATGGGAACTTCTGGTTCCTATTTTTATCACACTGATGTTTTCAGTTTGTCAAGTTGATTAGCAATCATTGACAAATCCTGACTCCGAATACAATGCATTAGGCTAGTCTGACAGTTCCAAAATTCATTTTTCCCAAGGAATTAATTATTCTTAGAAAATGTATGGTGTCAGTCAGAAAATGTTCTGATATAAGGAAGAAATGTATATTTTTGCAAACTATCCTATTCAATGCAAATGAAATGTACTGGATATTTTATTTGGAGGAAATTTCCAGACCAAACTTCTTGCCATTGCAACAGCTCTCTAGAATTCTGCTGGTCTTCAAGATGTCGAAGATCTTAAAGGCCTTTCCCTGGAATTGCCATGAATTGAGCTATGGATTTTTTTAAAGTACAAACAAGTCCATTAATTACAACCATCACTCAAAGATGTTTCTAATTATGCATTGATCTGCAATTTTTCAAAAAAGCCAATGGTAGAAATCATCTCCAAACACACAGACTTTCCTCTATTTGCCTTCCTGAATTCCTATGATGATCCATTTGCTCTCTTTCCTTTTTTTCCCATGAGTTTTCCAAATAATTCCACAAACAAGATCATCTTATCTTATACTCCCTTAGGATAGCTCTATGATCTATTTTTACAGAAATCCCAAGATCACATTGCCAAGATCTGTGATACAACTTTCAAGGCTGGTTTTCTTTTTACAAAACAGCTTCACTCTTTAAGAAACAGAGACAAGAATTCAGTCTTGCACAATCACTGCTTTTTAACCATCCCTGGGCACCAAATGCGGGAAACATCCAAAGAGATCCAGCCACTTGTTACCTCGGTCATGCAGAGCTAGAAGGACCCGTTCATAGAGGCAGGCTCTGTAGAGATCTCCAGGGATAGGCTTTCCTGCCCAGCAGTCTAGCTCCAACTTCTCTGGGTCAGGAGCATGGGGGTCTGGTTCTGCCAAAATGTAACGATACCCATCCTTATTAAAAGGGTGCTCCAATGGATAGCCATGCGGTGGAAGACGCTGAGCGGAGAACAAAGGATCACTGTGGAAACAAAATGAATCAGTAAAAGGCAGGTCTTTCTCAGCCTTCCAAGCAAGGAAACAGAGAGGAACAGATCCTTTTGATTCATCAGTGTTGATCACCATCTTAATTTTAATTTATTCCTTCCGTTCTAGGCATACCACAAAGTGGCCAATTATCTAAAGAAAAATATAAGTAATATAAATGTGATACAACAGCAACAAAGTACAGATGAAGAGGAGGAATGTCTCAATACTTCCCCTAAAAACGGAAGGGCTGGTCAGAATTCACAAATCATTGCTTTCCATAATTTGCTGCCAACCCATATGAGAAGCTACACGAAGACAACTTAAACAGTCTCTAATAGCAGCTATCTTTATGCTCAGACAGATATATGAATGCTGGTAAGTCCCTCAGATGTCTGCTCTCACGTGTTTTTACTGTCATGTTTTTTCCACATCAACATAGTATACAAATGATTCAAGATTTTCTACACTGATATTCTAGACTATGAGCTAACTCAGTGTTTTTCAAACTGAGAAATTTTAAGATGCTGCCTGAGAAAGTTGAAGTCCACACCTCTGAAAGTTGCCAAGTTTGAAAAACCTGAGCTAAGTGATTCCCTCTTGATAGGAACCCTATGCAGAAAGGCAATATATAAATGAGTAACAATATAGGTAGTCCTCGACTTATAGCCACAATTAAGCCCAAAGTTTCTGTTGTTAAGAAAGACAATTAAGTAAGTTTTGTCCCATTTTACGAACTTTTTTGGCATAATTGTTACATGAATCACTGCAGTTGTTGGTAACACAGTGTTAACTTGCTTGTCATAAAGTCATAAAAAGGGTGATCACATGACCCCAGGACACTGCAGCCATCAGAAATATGAACCAATTGCCAGGCATCCAAATTCTGATCACATGACCATGGGGATGCTGCAATGGTTGTGTGAATAATGGTCTTAAGTCACTTTTTTCAGTGGTGTTTAACAGTCATTAAACAAATGGTTTTAAGTCAGGACTACCTGCCCACAGAATATTAATTATTCTCCTTTTCCCATGTTTTCCGTATCAAGCAAAATTCTCGGGACTTACCTCCTAGTTTTCTTGGCTGTTCCTGTAGTTCCTCCTTCTTGCTGCTTACGTTTGGCCCCTCTTCCTTTCCCACTAGTTCCTGGCACAAGACTCCCTTGGAAAGAGAAACACCACAATCGTATGTCATCAACTGATATGATTAGGGAATCAGCCCTAATCCCCTTGGGTACCTTTGAACTTCAACAAGGCCAAATGGGAAGCAGATGGGAAGCAGAATTTCACTGCTCTAAAAAAAAAGAGTGTATGTTTTGTTCACTTCCTGGCCTATTCTAACTTTGGAATCAAAAATGGTATTTTGAGTGAGACACAAATAACACCATCATGTACGTCACTGGGCTGACAGTAAATAAAATAACTACCATAATTTCTTTCACAGAGATCCAAATGATACAAAGACAAAAATGCGATTGTATTCAATAACAAAGGGGGGAGGGGGGGCTGAGACTTAATTAAGAGTTAGAAGACATTTGGTCACATACTTGCTAGCGCAGCTCAAGCATCTATCATTCAAAGTCTAGAAGATAGGAAAACCAAAGCACAAGATTTTTTTTGCCAAACAGGCAACTGATTATCATCATTCATTAACATTACTGTGCTGCCTATTTAACTCTTTCTCTCTCTCTTCAGTTTAGCCACTTGCTTCCTAAGTACGTGAACCCATATATCTATATATTGTATCATCAATAAATGAATGTGGGGAAATACTGGGAATCAAAACTTCAGAACAATTGGGTCTGAAAAATATTATAAACAGCAGGGTCCATTGTAACTCACAACTCAAACGTGAGAAGGAACAGTAATTTAGGATGGTTTGAATGTGAAAAGATGTGAGTAACAGAAGTTCAGGCTCTGGATTCCTTGCTTCCAATCAATTCAGAGACAAGTGTGCTGGTGGACTAGAGAACCACCTTTGAACATTAGCACAAGGCAGAATATAAAGTAAGAAAAATGTGATTTATGACCGTTTTTCAGTTACAACCTTTGCAACAACCTTAACCCTATGGTCATGTGATCAAAATTCAGATGTTTGGCAACGGTTCATATCTATGACCCTTGTTGTGTCCCAGGGTCATATTATCTCCTTTGCCATCTTCTGACAAGTAAAGTCAATAGGGAAGATTCGCTTAACAAACGGGTTACCAATTGTCAACTGCAGTGATTTACTTAACAACTGTGGCAAGAAAGGTTGTAAAATGGGGCAAAATTCACTTAACAAATATCTCACTTAACAACAGAGATTTGGGCCTTAATTGTGGCTGTAAGTCAAGGACTACCTATATGAAATGAAAAGTACTAAGTATGAAATCAGAGATAGTGGTGTAAGGAAACACAGCCCTTAAAAGGGGGCATTATTTTCTGCACTACCAATTAATTTGAAATACAGGCAGTCCTCAACTAATGATAACCCAAATTTTGAGCAGCCTGAGCCCAATATTTCTGTTGCTAAGCGGGACACTTATTAAGTGAATTCTGCCCATTTTACAACCTTTCTTACCACCGTTGTTAAACTAATCACTGAAGTTGCTAAGTTAGTAACCCAGTTGTTAAGTGACTCTGGCTCTCCCATCGACTTTGCTTGTCAGAAGGTCGCAAAAGGGGATCACGTGACCCAGGAACATTGCAACCGTCATAAATGCAAGTCATTTGCAAGTATGTGAATTTTGATCCCGTGACCATGGGGATGCTGCAAGTTGTAAGTACGGAAAACAGTCATAGGTCACTTTTCTCATTGCCGTAGTAACTTTGAACGGTCACTAAATGAGTTATTGTAAGTGGAAGACTACTCATAGATTTTTATTTTCATTACTGCAAGGTAGGTTCGCTTATAAAAAAAACAGCGGCTTCTCTTTTAGCATCTCTGGAGTGTTAATTTCCTACCTGAATTCAGGCAACAGATTCTTTATCACACGGAGTTGGACTATTTCCAGGATGGCTTAAGCAACGTTTTCAAAATCAGGAAGAACTGGCTTGGGGCTTCAGTAGACTTATAAGCACTTGAACTATTTACTACTGACATCTGGGCAACATGAGGAAACTGAATTTTATCATCCAAACGGTATTTTGACGGAGACAGTCTTACACTAAGCTGAGGCAGATAAGCAAATTTTGTTCAGACATGGTTTATTTTACTTAGGACAACTCAGACATGTCATGGAAATAATCAAATATGTATTGTGACATCACACTGCAAGCTCTGCCCGATTTTTCTGCAATGTTATGACACGGACACAGAAGGAGTCGGCATTCTGACATTTCAAGATTATGACACACTTTTTGTTATTTGCTCCCATCCACGCATAAAACACAATGGTTAGAATCAGGTAATACACTAGGTTCAAGTGAAACAAATCACATTTTGTCACAGCACATATCTGAACCTTGCCAGTGTTTTACTAACCAATAAACTTTGTGTCTGAATAGAATTTTTCTCTTGTCCAAGATCAAAATCCATAAACCAACCTTCTCTTAGGACTGTGTAGTAAGAGCTATTATAGAGGAGCATACTAACTAAGTGGGATAAAAACTGATTGTCTGCATTCAGAAAGCAATGTTGTATGATTTTATTTCAGTGTTTAGCACCCTATTGAGACAGAGGCATAAAACTTGTGTTTTTTAAAATACATTTTCCAGTAATACTTTAAGTTTCTAGGTAGTCCTCAACTTATGACCATAATTGGGCCTGCAAGCGGTTGGTAAGCAGATCATCACAAGATCACACCCAATTTTATGACCTTTTTGTGGTAGCTGTTAAGCAAACATGATGATCATAAAGCAAATACCATGGTCATTAAGCAAACCATTGTTTGCTTTGAGTTGATTTTTTTTCCAGAAACCAGAAATGCTGGTTTCTAGCAAAAACGTTGTAAGTGCCGGACACAGGAGTGCAGGACATTGAAAATGCCTGTAATTGAGGGCCGTTTGCTATGTGCTCAAAATGTGGTCATGTGACATGAGGGAAACCACTGGAACTTCAAGCTGTGGTTGTACATTCCTTGGGGAAGGGCTGTTGTAATTTCAAATAAGTGACTAGTGACTTTAAGGGACTTTAAGTGACTAGTCATAAGTGGAAGATTACCTGTATATAATAAAGTTCAGGATATGGAACAACATTTACCCTATACAACCTCATTCTACACAAAACCCTGGACAAAAGTTCTTCCTATTTTACACAGGAAGAAGCAGGGTTAGACATCTACTTACTTGCACCCAAACCTCCACCACAGAAGCCAATCAATTAAATTGGATTAAAATTCAGTTTTTATATAATCAATGGAGAATATGGCTTTTAACCATTGTAAATACTTCATATTAAATTTTTAAACATTCCACTTACAAATGTGGTAGGCTTGAGATTAATTAATTATACTTAGTTTCTACGACAATTTGGTCAAACAAAACAAAGGGGGTGGGGGTGGGAGCTTTTCACACAATACTTAGGTTTTAGGAAGCTGAAAAGCAAATATTCACCTCCCAAAGAGGCTCCACCTGTAAGAACAGAAGTTGCACCATGTTGTTGTCGAATTTTAACATAAAAACAAAACACCATAACATGAAATGGAAATTAAACAATACCCACCCTTGTGTATCTGTTCAAAAACTAAAGTCATTGTAAATTCATTTAATAACTCCTTATTACTTATTATTATTATTCTCTACACTGAGAATTCCTCTTCCTTTTCTCCTTGGATTCCCTCTCAGAAATGGAGGAAGGAGCTAACCTCCTCTTACAGCCAGCATGAAAATAGGCTAAGCAGAAGAGGAACAGAACAACCATGTTCCTTCACTTTCAGGGTGCTAGGGTCTTTATTGTGGCTGCTAAGGAAGCATGAAACCTCCACAGGGTTACCATGAAACCCAAATGGATTGGCAGGAAAGGATTTTACTTCTCAGCCAACCTTTTCATTCCCTGTATGGGACTTAGCTGCAATGGCAAGTGAACTGAATAATTAAAAAGAAATCTATTTTTATTGAGCCTCCTTAATTTGCATTACCCTTCTATTAGGATTAGGTAAGATTAGAGGTTCTTGTGCAAGTCCCACTGAAATCAATAAGGATCTTTAGAAGTACAAACATATTTCCATACAAAATACAGGAAAGATGGCTGTGCGCAAAGGTGCTTTTGTTTTAATGGCAACAGGACTGTCTGATTTTTCTTTAAGGGATTTTGCTTCTCATTGAAGAACCTTCTTCAGTTCTTGGATAAGAAAGGAAATGTCTTAAAGGAAAAACCAGAAAGTCCAGTTGCCTTTAAAATAAAAGCATCTTTGTGACAACCATGATCTGGATGAATGAGAACCTCCAGAGTAAGTTAGAGAGTAAGATGCACAACTACTGATTCATGCTGTAAAAAGTAACAAGCTTGAATGAACTATTGGAATATATTTTTTTAAAAAAAATAAGATTACATTTTTAAATTTGCCAAACTGCTTTTCTAGTTGATGCTCAATTATTAAATGGGGGGAGGGGGGAAGGGGGGGAATTATTAGCCAAATTACACTCTCCAATTCTGAAAAAGAATCCACAGAGTTTCTTACAATAACACAGATTCAAGCACATACATATATGGTATGCCTTTTCATGTAAACATAAACCAGAAATAATTATTCAACATAGCTTCTAATCTTACAAGATTCAAAATCAAATAAAGATGTATTACTATGAACACTTAACTGGGAGTTCATCCCATTTAATACAGTGGAAGTTTCAAGCTACCAGGCATAGGACTGCAATCTAAATTTAACTATTTAATTGTTTACTACTGTAGCATACAAAAAAGAACAAAAGAAATTAAAAACCTGAAGAAGAAACTAAAATAAACAATGGATATAAACTTAATTGTATTTGGATTTATAAAGAAAATATGTTTAAATACAGAGTCTGAGCACTGAAAATTTGAAATTCATGTTTCCTCATTTCAGAAAAAAAACACCTTACCATTTAGATTTCCACTAGTAGATACAGTATTACTCTGTTTTTGGTTATCATATGCAGGACCAATATTAGCAAGGTCCTAAAAAGAAAGCAAAGTGTATTTCTTTAAACAAGTAAACAAAACTTTCAGACACTTTTCCAATTCGCAACTGTTTCAATTGGTTAAGATTTGAAAGCTACCAACACACCTTATATCTTACAATTTTGTTCTCTCAGAAACGAATCCCACAATGTAATGGAATTTTTCCTTAGGTGCGAGCAATTTCAAAAAAACTAGCAATCTACTGATGAACCAATCAACAACCAAATGCAGGGGGAAAATAAAATATTCCAGCAACATTTTGAGATGTTAATCTTTGGCCTGAGGGAAAAAAATAGTCTATAGCAAAAGGTGTTGTTTCTGCTCAAATGGTTGTTTTCTCTTTCTCCCTAAAACTGTAATCTTCTGGGTTATATTTACCCAACTAGAACTTTTCTAATTTCCTAGAACCTTCCATTACTCAGAAAAAGTCCACATTCAAAGTCTTACTCAGTATTATCTATATTTACCCTGTGGTGAAATTTTTCCAGCATACTGGAAGATGGTCTGTATCACTGACATTACCTGGTCTAAGAGTCCAAATTTGGGGTAATCTTCTTCTGGATCTTTGCTACCTGGATCTGGATGCTCTTTCACCAAAAACACATCTCTTTCTTTACACTAGAATAAAACATTCAAACAAGGTTAATTCAAACAATTCAAACACCTCATGCAGAGAAAATCAAATGCAATTCATAGAGTTCAAAATTGAATAATTAAGCTTCTAAAGCAGTGAGTGAGAAAATGAACTACAAAATAAAACATGTAAACTTGTCTACTCACTAATGCGTTTTCTCCCAATTTGTTATTAAACTTGATCAATAAGAAAAATGGCAGTTTTGTTCATCTTGACTTACCATAGTTTTAACAATATTGTTTGGCCAAGTCATTTTTCCTGGTCTTTGCCGTGTTGTCATACATTCCCAGTACTTATCAATAAAGGGTATAATATCCTGTTGGGGGAAAAAAATCAAATATAATGATAACAGGGAAGTTCACAGCCAAGACAATTTATCAAGTTTAACTAACTGCCTATTATATGTCTATTCATTATAAGAGAGCGGTTTCTAAATATAAACAGGGCTAAGCTAAATGCACTGAGGAACGGTTGCAGGAATTGGGTATATCTATTTAATAAAAAGGAGTAGAGCTGACATGATAGAAGTCTTCCAGTATTTCAGGGGCTGCCACAAAGAAGAGGGAGTCAACCTATTCAGGTACAAAGTACCTGAAGGCAGGACAAGAAACAACGGATGGAAACTTCTCAAGGAGAGAACCAACCTAGACTGAAGGTTAAATTTCCAGAATTTGTGGGTGATAACTACACTGGAGGTTTTTAAGAAGAGATTGGACAACAATTTGTCTAAAATAGTATAGGGTTTTCAGGTTGAACAGGAGGATGGACTACAACACCTCTAAAGGTCCCTTCCAACTCTGTTATTCTGATAAATTATTAAAGCGTATTATGGAGGCACAGATCTAAAAGATCATTTTGCTTTCCCACACAAAAGACAAGATAAAGATTAAAACAGAGCTAAAGGCAGTTTCAGTAATTCATGGAGATAATCTGGAATTCTGAATAGTTGACAAAAATACATAGAAGGAACAAATTTCACCAAGTTTTAATAGATGTATAGTCTTTCCTCACAGAGCACAATTCAACTAATATATTTATTAATTTTTTATGCCACCCATCTTCCCTATAAGATGACTCACATTCTCGCCTCTTTTTCTTCCTAAGAACACTTTGAATAAAGTTATTTTGAGAAATATTATTCCTTATTCCTAACCATTACATCGCACATTCACACATACATACATACATACATACATACATATATACACACAAAATCAACAGCAGGATATATATCTGAATGCTCCTTTACCATACATTCCACACAAGAAAATTTAAGATTTCTATACGAGAGAGTATGGCTGATCTAATGGCCTCTCATCAGGAATATGAAATGATTCTCAACATTCAACAAAATGTACAAAGCTTATTTTCATTAGTCTGAAATCACAAAGCACTCACTTCTCAGGGCGCAAAAGTTTTAAACCATCCCAAGAATCCTTGCTCCCTAATCAGGCTTCCCTTCGTACTCGATACCAAGAAATTGTGCTTGAAGCCAGTTCTGAGAATTTTAGCTCTTGCAAACTTTTGGAAAATACCTTACTCATCTCAGAAATGACCTACTACTTATTGCACTGGCTCCATGGAAAATTTTAAACTGCACTAATTATTCTATTAAATGGCTTTGAATGCTATATAACCATGGTAAGTGCAGATAAATATTTTTAATATTAAATCAATATTTAATCTTACTCTTCTGGCAAGAGGTTTCTTTTACCACACACTAGCAAAACTGTACTCTGTGATTTAGCCAATCTAGAGGTCCAAAACCAGAGCAGGAACAACTGATCCATACCTTGTCTTTTGAGAACATGGTTTTGGGATGTTCGTCTTGCGTCCTTGATTGCCAAGTCAGATTCGCCAAGGCACTAAGACACATTTCTTTCAAATCTTTAAGAAAAGAGATACAGAAAGGAGACCAGCTTCTTCAATAACATTCTATAGTCTGAAATAAACATCAGGAGTTAAGAGAGGTGTAAGTGAAAAATTGTTATGGAAGAAATTTCAGCATTGGTTTAATAATGGGCAAAGATAGAAAGAGATGATACTTTATATCTTGGGAGTCTTGATTGTGTTTAGAGCTAACATGAGAGTTACAATGTTAAATCAGATAAATTCAATAATTTTATGTTCCTCTTGGTTTTGGTGATTGATACAGCTGGTCCCCAGATAACAACTGAACAAGTGCTACTTAGACTGGTCCTCAAAGTTCTGGCCATCACAGTATCCCTACAGTCAAATGATCACCATCCATGTGCTTAGCAGCCATCATGTTCTGCAACCAGCCTGGATTTCTGACCATTGCAGTGTCCTGCAGAAACAAGACCAGAATTCGTGATCTTCCGTGCCAGCTTCCAACAAGTAAAATCAAAGTGGATGCTGGAAGGAAATAATAAAATATAGTCATGTGCAGTCCTCACCTAATGACCCATGGTGATTCATTTAATGATGGTAACTGGGGACTGCAGAACTGCTGTTGCTAAGTTGTGCAGTCATGTGGCATTGCACTTTACCATTGCATCTCTTAGCAAGGGAAATTCCAGTCCCAATTACTGTTGTTAAGCAAGGACTGCCTATAAGGCCAATATTTTCAAAAATGAACAACCAATAAAGCCAGGGAAGTGAATAGGCCACTCAGAGACCATATGTTTGTATGCAGACGATTTAATCTAAAATGGGCTAATGTTATAATCACTGCAGCCAACAAAGCTGGACTTTGGTTTAAAAAACCCCAACTTCCTCGGCATCTATAAAGCCTCTGAAAACAGCTGTAATATTGCCAGTCAGTTTTCAGCCTCTGTTCCATAAGGATCTCATACAGTGTTCATGGCTTAATGACTCAAGAGATAAAGGATTAAGAGTACTGGAGATAATCCCATCTCCTATAGTTTATAACTTAAAAATGAAAGAGAATGAAGAAAAGTCAAGAATAGAAACATTTTTCTACCAACTTACTTGCTTGTTTTCTTAAGAAGTATGTGTTCCCACTGTGATGGCAAATGTTGCAATGGAAACTGTAGTTCGTCATAAAAGGAAGGCAGGATCTGAAATAACAATTCAGTGGTTGTTCTCAATAAATCAGATGGTAGAAAAATGTACAGTAACTTATAAACTCAATAAGGTAACACTTGGGCAGGTTAAGCTATTATCAAAAACAATTTTTGCAAGACTCTTGCCCATTTACCCATACCTCAAGTATAAACCTAGAGGCAATATTAATAAAAATTCTGAAAAGGTACATTGAAATAAAAGCTAACTTTTCTACTAAATGCTTAAAGACACCCTAAACTCAACTGTTCTCAAATAATAAGAGTAAAACTATAGACACACAACCTGACTCCTTCCAACTTTAGCAATTTAGCACCCTGCTGCTCCTCTCCCTCATCAATAGACATAGAGATAATAAACACAAAAACAGGTAAGTTTATTTGGTCCTCTTTGTAATCTGAACATCAAAGCAAAATCACTGAACATAAAGCCTTCAGGCCACCTACCAAATTTGGAGTCAGTGACCCTCATAAATCTGATTACCAAGTGATAGAAGCTATTTTTCAGATTTTCAACAGAGCCTGCACTTTCTTGAGACATCTGAACTCAATGCTTGCTTAGCTCTGGGTTTTATATGAGGTGCTCTATACAGATGGATTAGAACAGCTTCAAATCATGAAGAAGGTAGAGAATAAACCATCGTATCAGTCTGTTTATTTTATGTGCACTGGACTAAGAATTGGCCTGTAGATGACAGCTCATAAAAACCCTTTGGGTTTTTTTTTAAAGATAAATGTCCTATCACTTTGCTGATTAACTCCATAGATGTTTACAGCTTTAGGATTATTTGTTCACAATGAACCAGCAAAACAGCACTTTCTCCACTCAGCTTTAGCCAAGGTTGTAAAACATTTCAGAGAAACAGCTGCAAACAAGCAGCTTCAAACTTTCATGGAAATGTAAGGGAAATATGTAAATCTTCACCCCGCAAATACTTGGATGTTGTATATAAAATGGCTGGGCATACTCAAAACCAAATGAATTAAGCCAGAGTTTCCCAATCTTTCTGGCTGGGGGGGGGGGGGGGGGGGGAAGAAAGAGGGGATGGTTCTGTGTGAGCAGCAGCAAACCCACCACTTCCTCAGCCCGGTTCTGAATGACTCAAGGCCTAGTAGTGGCCACAGCCTGGGGGTTGGGAACTCCTGAATTAAGCATTATAATTTACACAGCACACTGTGTACACTGTGTCTATTAATCAAGGCACTGTGTACACTGCCTTGATTGATAGACACAGTTCTTGCATGTTCTTAATACAGCAGAGAAAGGAAGGTCCTCAGCCACAAACAGCTTATTGGGAGATGTGTGTGTGTGTATATGTGTATTTAAAAACATCTATAATATTAAATATTAAATAATCCACGACTCTCTGGGTTCAGACAATACACTGAGCCAAAGCCTCACAAACTGGATTATGGTTTAGGGTGATATCTAAATTCAGGTACATGAGAATCACAAAACAGCCACAATGAAGTCTAGAGATATTCAACTGAATTTTAAAATGGCCTTCTAACATCTTGTGGCAGATGTTAAGAACTGCAAAAAGTTTTGAAAGTCTGGGACATAGCCGTTTGATGCTGGTTCTTACAATTAAAGTATGCTACCCAAAAAATTCTGGTATTATCATTTTTCTTCTATTAAATGTCTCTTGCAATGTAATAAGAAGCCATTTTTAATTCCTGTTAGCATACAGGATCTTTTTTATATACATTAATTGCCACTAAGCCAATTTGAAACAAGAGAAGTTTCAAATTCAACTGATATCCACCAATTATTTGAAATCAACCTCAGATGTAAGCATATGCTGCCCTCTTTTGGAATAATTGGAGAGAGTGTTTTGATTACTTCTACAGAACATATGTCCCTGATCAATTCTATTAATATGCTGGTACTACATACGTGGTATCAATGCCAAATGTTTCTGCAGTGAACCACTTGGTGCAAATTCCACACTGCAGTTCAATCTCTCCAAGTTGTCTTCCATTATCCTCGTCCACAGAACTAGCTTGATTATCCATGACTTCTGAACCATCGCCCACACCTTCCTGTAACAACATTTGGATAAAAGTAACAAAAAGCCACCAAGATCAGTTAAAATATTTTCTTTCCAGTAAGCATGAATTGTTTGCCTCCCTATGTAACCAGTGAATCCCCACCTGCTCAACTTCATGGTTGAGATTTCTTTATACTAACTTGTTTTTATTACAATCCAGGACATATTGTGGGACTAAAGACAACTGCAAAACCAACACTTGATTCTGATTTCTGTAGCTTGAATTTTTACCTTTTTTCAAGCCAGTCTTTAGTATGGTTAATAATTTGATTGAAATATCTCTTCAAATTGAATCACTAAGTTAATTTATCAAATTGATTTAAAGGGTTGAAGGAATGACATAAACATCTATATACTTTTCCCAACAGAATTTTTAAATCCAATCAACTTGAACTACAAATTAACACTGCCATTTATTTTTCAAACTAGAAATAAAAATGCAATCACTTCAAATTTGCATACATCTATTAGAAAGATTTTTAACATACACACATCAATCATGAAACATGCTTTATATCTACAGTGCAGGTTTTGCTTACACACCAAGGCATCCTTTCCACTGGATGATTCTGTTTCCAGGGTAGCAGTGACATCAGCTAGAGATGCATCACCCCTGAAAAACATTAAAAGTCATTATTACAGGTTTATAACTTGTTTTATTAATTTTAAATTTTTAATAAAATGAGTCTATTGACCCTAGCATTTAACATTTTCAAATTGAAACTGAACTTAAGTGTTTTATATGCTCTTGTTTTACTCCAATATCCCAAAAAGCTCTTTACTTTTATACTTACAGCAAAGAATTCCCCGCTCCCCTCATTACTAACAGGCACGAATCACAGTTTAATAAAATGCTATTGTTAAAAAGCTAGAGAGATATAGAAAACCTGATTCAAAGCAAGCTAGCTTTTCTTTTTCTTGAAAATGAATCAAAACTTTTACATATTTATCCATCAGCTTATCCTTTTAATCAAAAGTACCAGAGTTGAATCTGCTTTGCAAACATTTCATTGATTCAGGAAAATGTAGATCTAGGTGTACAAAGCATAGCTTCATTGCAAGATTTTTTTTTTCAATAGTTGCTAAAAGGGAAGGCTTGAGTGATCTCAAGCATTTCTATTCACTAGATTTCCCTTTATGCTGAGCAGTTAAGGACGGCTCACTGGGACAGACCCTTCAGACTAAGTCTACAGACAAAGACTTAAAACCACGAAACCAACAAATAAATCAGTGGGGACTTGGACTGATGAGGCAAAGCTGAAGCTATAGGCTTGCCTTAATTGCACTGATTGGAATGTTTTCAAAAATAATTCTGCAGACCTAGATGAGCTCACAGGTACTGTAACACAGGGGTCTTCAAACTTGACAGCATTAAGACTTATGGACTTCAACTCCCAGAATTCCTCCTCCAGTCATATTAGGGGAGTTGAAGTCTGCAAGTCTTAAACTTGCCAAGTTTGAAGACTCTTGCTGTAACATATGTCAGCTTATGTGAAGACCTATGTGTACTGACCAGAAACCTGTGAATATATAGCAACAATAAACCTTGGTTCACAGCTAATCTTAAGCAGCTACGTCATTCCAAAGAGGAAGCCTACAGAAAAGGTGACAGAATGCTGTACAATCAGGCCAGAAACATATTAACAAAAGAGATCAGAGCAGCAAAAAGAAGCTACTCTGAAAAGTTAAGGAATCAGTTCTCAACAAATGAATCAGTAAACATGTGGAAAACTCTTAAAAACATCACCGGCTACAGCAAACCTCCTTTCCAGGCAGAAGGAAATCAACAACTAGCAGAGGACCTGAATGTGTTTTACTGCAGGTTTGAAAGGAAACTACAGCCACCTATCTCCACAACCCCCATCTCAAACAGACCAACAACAGCCAAGCCGTCTACAATTGACCACATCTCAAACACACCGACAACAACCAAAGCTTCCACAACTGACCCCAACCCATTGGGTTCACAACCTCTGGTGATCATAGAAAAAGAAGTGCAAAATCTATTTCACAGACAAAAGCCAGGAAAAGCATCAGGCCCAGACAAAATAACTCTTGCTTAAAAGTCTGTGCTGACCAATTGGCTCTCATCTTCACCCAAATCTTCAAAAAATCACCAGAGATGTGCTATGTTTCTTCTTGCTTCAAATGCTCTACTATCATCCCAATGCCAAAGACGCCCTCCATCAAGGAACTGAATGACTACAGACCAGTTGCTCTGACATCTGTAGTTAGGAAAATCTTTGAAAGGCTTGTGCTGTTCCACCTGAAAAACATCACAGATCCGCAGTTAGATCCCATGCAGTTTGCATACTGAGCAAATAGATCGACAGATGATGCTGTTAATATGGCTCTGCACTACATCCTACAACACCTTGAATCTCCAAATACCTATGCAAGGGCCCTCTTTGTAGACTTTAGTTCAGCATTCAATACCATCATTCCAGACATTCTACTAACTCAGGGGTCTCCAAACTTGACAGCTTTAAGACTTGTGGACTTCAACTCCCAGAATTCCTCCTCCAGTCATGTTAGCTCAGGAATTCTGGGAACTGAAGTCCACAAGTCTTAAACTTCCCAAGTTTAAAGACCCTTGTTCTAGCTAAACTAAACCAGCTAGCGGTACCTGAATACACTTGTAAGTGGATCATAAACTTCCTAACAGACAGAAAGCAGCAGGTGAAGCTAGGCAGAATCACATCTCATACCTGTACAATTAGCACAGCTCCACCCCCCCAAAGCTGTATGCTTTCTTCACTTTTCTTCTCCCTATACACCAATGACTGCATCTCAAACAATCCATCTGTTAAAATACTGAAGTTTGCAGATGATGTAACAGTGATTGGTCTCATTCGGGACAACAACGAATCTGCATACAGATGGGAGGTTGTACAACTTGCCTCATGGTGTAACTGGAACAATCTGGAACTGAATACACTCAAAACTGTAGAAATGGTGGTAGACTTTAGAAGAAACCCTCCCACAATAATAGACAACACAGTATCAACAGTAGAGACCTTTAAATTATTAGGGTTCTATCATATCACAAGATCTAAAATGGACACCTAACATCAAAAACGTCATCAAAAAAGCTCAACAAAGAATGTTCCTTCTGCGCCAACTCAGAAACCTCAAACTGCCCAAGGAGCTGCTGATCCAGTTCTATAGAGGAATGATTGAGTCTATCATCTGCACCACTATAACTGTCTGGTTTGGTTCTGCAACCCAACAAGACAGACACAGACTTCAGAGAGTAATTAGGACTGCAGAAAAAACAATTACTACCAACCTGCCTTCCATTGAGGACCTGTATACTGCACGAGTCAAAAAGAGGGCTGTGAAAATATTTACAGACCCCTCATAATCCTGGACATAAACTTTTTCAACTCCTACCCTCAAAATGACATTATAGAGCACTGCACACGAGAACAAGTAGACACAAGAACAGGTTTTTCCCGAACGCCTTCACTCTGCTAAACAAATAATTCCCTCAACACTGTCCAACTATCTACTTAGTCTGCAATTACTATTAATACTCCCATCTTTCCTTTCACCCATCTCCTCCCACTTGTGACAGTATGACTGTAACCTTGTTGCTTGTATCCTATTTTTATTGACTGTTTCCTAGTATGATTTGATTGCTTATTGTACCCTATGACTATTATTAAGTGTTGTACCTTGATTCTTGACTCGTTGACAAATGTATCTTTTCTTTTATGTACACTGAGGGCATATGCACCAAGACAAATTCCTTGTGTGTCCAATCACACTTGCCCAATAAAGAATTCTATTCTATTCTATTTGTAACACTATTTGTTGGCAAATATAAATATTTTTACTTTAGTCACATTAAATGTATAACTCATTTTTTCTCACTACAGCATATGTAGTAACCATTCCTATAATTTTATTCCCATCATAATTTCTTCATACAGGTTAGCTTTGGAGGGATTATTTTAAGTTTGGTTCTCAGAACATGGATAAATATGATGTACTCCACTTGATCTATTCTCAACTATTCTCCAACCATCAGCTTATGTCTAAACCCAGTGGAAAGCTATAACCCAAAACAGCAATAAAAAACCACAGTAAAAAAACTAAACCACTTCTCAGTCAGGTATCAATTACAGACCTGACCTATTTGCCAATAAAGAAGAATAGCATTGTTCTAGACCAGGGATGTCAAACTGGCGGTCCGCAGGCTGGATGCATCATGCATAGGCCACACCCACCCCAGCTCCGCAAAGGGGAAAAAATGTCACAATGTCACATAATGCCAAGAGTTTGACACCTATGTCCTAGACTATTTTTCCTTTTAGCTCAGTGAATTGCTCAGAAGCAATTCTCAATGGCTTTAAGCAGAAAAATGTCCCTCCCACCATCACCAATAACCTCATACTTTTAAACAAGAGAGCAGGAATCAAACCCAGAGGCTGTTTTATAATCACTCATTTAGTGCCAAAGGAACATGTGACTGACGAAGAAAAGCTGCAATCTCATTCAGAGTAAGTTCTCCCACTCTTTTAGTCTGATGCATGGATTTTGGTCCTAAAAGTGCACACAGTTTGGAAAGTGAATTTCTATTTCCATTGTATTTGTGAATGGTTACTAATTGAAGTAGCCACTAAATCAGGGGAGACTCAGCATGGGATGGGAACTAAATTACGGTCTAATCCACACCAGCCACATATTAAAAGAAACAGAAAAACTGGTGACATTTAACCAGCTATACCATAATCTGCTTATCCGTGGTTTAAATACTTCATTTGCTGCATGCCTGCTCATGCAACGTATTAAGCCAGAAATTGTGGTTTGCAGCTCAACAAACCCAAGAGACAAGCAAACCAACATATCTGGTTATTGGTCAGGCGGCAGCAAAAGGCGAATGCAGCTCTATGGCTAGAGTAACTCCCTGCCCTACAGAGAACTTGGGTCTCTTACGTTCCCAAAGGAACCTGGAAGTCTCCACCACCTAAAACCCGACAGGAAAGCGGGGAAATGGAGGTTATCAGGACTAAATTAAACGAGACAGCGGCCTGACTTAATTGCAGCTGGCTAGGAATTCTGATAACTCTAGTCTCAAAATCTGGAAGAGGAACAAGCTCGTTGCCTCCCACCATTGAAAGCTTTCCTGCAAAGCCCGGAATTCGACAGGCGGGGGAGAAAAAACCCGGAAGGAGTTCATTGGGCGGAAAGTCAAAATTCTGACCAATGAGAAGCGAATCCGAGACCTCTTGGCCAATAGAAGTGCCCCGCTGGATTTTAGACTTCTAGCCAATAGAAATGAAGATTCCAATTTCGATCTCTTTGACCGCCATTTCGCCAGGTCTCACCCGGTCTCCGAGTCCCCTGTTCCCTGTTCAGTTGGCCCCGCAGGTTCCCCAGCCATCGGCTCCGGAACAGCGGGTGGGGTGGCCTCCCCTTCGCCTCCATCCTCAGGCGCTGAGACCCCAACTCCAGCGGACGCCATCTTGCACTAGAAAACACCTCTCGTGGGGATTATTCGTGCATAATCTCGCGAGAGCTTTCGTGCCAATTCTCCTACTCCTTTTTTAAAAGGGGCAACGTCCCTATCTCTTTTCCCCTCCTTAAAGCGGCAATGCCACTTTTTGATGACTTGAAAGTAGCACCTGAAAAAGTAGCATTGGAAATGTTATAGTTTCAGAAACTTTTAGCTCCCTTAATATCTTCTATTCTTAGTTTAAACCTAATGGGCGGAATTGGATTCAGCTTATGCAGTAATAAAATGGATAGCTTTTAATTTCCTTAACTATCCTACATAATACAGCAGCATATTCATAATATTACTATATTACTGCATTGTAGCATTATAGTGTAATATATGTTGTGTCAGCTGGTGCTTCGTTCAAAATCCAAGAAAGAAATACTTAGACTCTTGTAATTAGAGAAAAGATATCTTTTACTGGAAGTCAAGTGGTAGCAACAAGAGAATTCTGAATCTGAGGAAACATCACATATATCAAGGGAGTGAAATGTTCCCATCCCCAATAGTTCAAACGGTTCTTCCAATTAAAAGTTGTGAACCTCATCATGTGGACATCTTCAGGTGGGTATGATTAGTTGACCTTGGCTTAGATAAAGATTTGCAGCTGTGCAGAGAAGAGAAAGCTAAGCAAGAAATAGAACCCCGCCTCAGTTTATACAATATTAGTTAGTAACACTTTTCCCCCTTCCACCCCCGCCCCTTATTCATGACAGCCAGAAAGAAGCAAAGCAAAGGAAGAAGATCTTGAAGGCTGACATATTGTCTTGTATTATATTATCCTATGTTTCATATGCTACACTAGCATATATAGCATATATATGATCAGCACTAATGATGTTACCTAATTTGGGTAATGAAATGTTTGCAAGAAAACAAGCAAGCTCAGAGAGAACCATATCAATCCCGAACTACAAATATTCTCCTTTATTGGTATCATATACAATAATGATTTATTTTTATTTCATTGTTTTATTTCTGGCTTGAGCCAAAATAGTTTTGATCTGTTGCCTTACCATTATGATGCAATATCGCAGGGGTGTCAAACTCGCAACAACACGTCATCATACGAATGATATGGTGGAGAGAAATACATTATAAATAAAAAATGTATTAATTTTGAGGCAAAGTTTATTTCCATAGTGTTTTAATGCTGAAATTTATTAGGCCTGTGCAGCATTTCTAATTCACTCTTTGTGCTTTGGAGCTGTTTAAAACAAACTGCAGGTCAGAACTACACTTCCTCTATTGCAGCTTTCAAAGCAACGTTTGGCAATTGAATCAGAAGGGATGCATCACCTTAAGCCTTTGCAAAAGTACTATTTATTATACACATCTTATACATTATAATATAAAATATTTAGCAATTTTAAATATTTCCTGCTTTACTTTAAAAAAACTTTAACATATAAGCCATAGTTTTTCTCATCCAATGTGCATTTTACCTTAAGAACATAAAAACTTATTTATAACTCTTTGCATATACACTGTATTATTTAGCATATTTATTAAAATTACAGAACAATTCTATTTGTATTTGACCAGAAAATCCACCACTCTCAGAGAATTTCACTCTTACATATTGTTACAGAAATGCAAAGGTATACATTTTATTTGTTTATTTTATTATTAGACTTCTATGCTGCCCATCTCGCTAAGATGACTCTTAAGTGGCTTACAATCGTGCAATTAAAATACCATATAAAACATTAATATGTTAAAATATTAAAAGCAAATAAGAACCTTACATTTAAAAATTCAGATAAAATTTGATTAGCCATGATAAAAAGGAAGGGGGCAAAGTGTGCATAGGATGGAGCTGGGGTGTAAATAAATGCCTATAAATCAGAATATAACTATATAAGGAAAAGAAAAGTGGAGATGAGTTATTTCAAACTACAGAAACATATTCTGTGGAATTACTATGTAATGCAGCCTTCCTAAAAATCTTGCCCCTTAAGATAGTCCAAACATTGTACCAGAATTTACAGAAATAGATTATGTATTTGTTCGTATTCTTAAAAATATTACATTACTACATTCCTAAGAACAGGTGCTTTTTAAACAAAACTATGTCAATTCTAGATTTTTAGAATTATACATTATCCACTGGTGCACTTTGTTAGGATATAACATAGTGTTGGTAAATTCTCTGTCTAAAAGAATATATTTTACAAATGCATTTTCTTTGAGTATCATTTCATGAATTAATTTTGCCCTTAGTTATTCAACCTCAAAGCTGTGGCTTCCAAAAATGCCTCCTTATCTTCCAGGTATTTCTTTTTAAGAAAACTAAACCAATTATTCATGGGTTAGTTTCTCTTTGAAGTTACTGAAGTTTCAGCAGCTTTTGAATCTCGATAGTAAGAGTTTTTGAAGTACACGCTTGCTTTACAAACTAAATGATCAAGATATGTTAATTGATTGTAAAACATGTTCTTTAGGCTTTAAGTGATCAGAATGAAACATGAAACGTTTGTGCAACAAAACCTTCAAACAGATTATGTAACTTGAAGGAATTGACTCTTATATTTTATCTGTATGGATTAATTTGATGTTTTCACTTTGAAGTGGTATATACATTGTATTCAAGGCAAAAAAAAAAACCCTTTTAGGAAGACTTCAAAAGAAAACTTGAGTAATAGCAAACATGAAAATATAATAGCTAGTTCTAAACCAAATTAAGAAATTAAGAACTTTTGCCCATATTTTTTTAATAATTTAGAAATATATACAACTCAAATGAAATAGCTAAGGTTTAGCACTTCAGAGTATCTGTTATCATAGGTTCATGGATCACACAGTCTTGGTAATGAATGCTGTTGGATGACATCTACAAAAACTGTCATATAAAAAGCTGAAATGCCAACCTGCTTCCCTGTGGATTAAAATGGTCCTTAGTTCATCAGGTTTCCCAATTTTCTCCAAGATTAGTTAATTAAACTTGGATTTTCCAACTCTTTTTCAGCACTTAGGACAGCAGTCTCTTCTTTCTTGCGAACCAACTCAGTGTTTTGAACCAAACCCCAATTGCTTCTTTTGTATTTTGGAGAAAAGAAAAATGTCTGCCTTATAGTAACAGGAGGGGATCAGTACTGAGCCAACCAGACTCTCCTTGGTCTGTTTTTTGAAAACTCATCATGGAGCAAATAAAAATTGGAGTTTCATAAAAATAGTGACAATAGTGCAAAGGTTAATAGGTACAGATCAGTGAAAAAATAGTTTCAATTATTCACTTTTTGCTTTTGCTTTTTTTCTTTTTTCTTTCTTTATATTAGTTTGTTTTAGTTTTTATCTTCTTGTTTAAAAATGTGTGTGTGTGTGTGTGTGTGTGTGTGTGTAAAATGTCTGGGTGTTCAAAACTATGGGCAATTTAGTCTATGGTTTTGCCAGTTTACTTTTTGTCTGTTTCTTGTACTGAATATATTAAAATCCAATTTTATTTATTTATAATTTTATTTATTTATAGCTGGCTGTATAATAAATATATAAACAAATCTTAAATAAGGAAATAAATATAAATAAATCCTCTGTCAGTTAGCATAGTTATCCATAGTTTACTTGGCCACAACCCTATATATAAAATAGTGCTTCAATGTGTTGTTAGTAACAGCTGTGGCCTAACACAATGTAACAAAACTTCAGTACAATTGTTGTACAATTATGGTAATTTGAGGGAGAATAGAATCCAAAGCATTTAGAAAGAAATATGTGCTTTCCTGTTTTGAATCAACTCAGATCAATTACAAATGTTGATTTAGTAATATGCGGGGAAATGATTTTTGGTTGGAAAAGGACGAAAAATTGTAAAACCACTTGGTGGCAGTAAAAACCTATCATAGAAAAGTTGAAACAAAAAATCTGGGGAGGAAGGTCAGGACAAATATGATTGAAATTCCCCAATCCCCATTTTTATCTATTTGGTGAAATAAAAGGGTACATACAAAAATAATAGTTGTATTGAGAGAGAAGAAGAAGAAGAAAGTGAGCGAGAGGAAAGAAGAGAAGGAGGGAGGGAGGAAGGAAGGAAGACAGGCAAGCAGGCAGGCACAGTGTCCACATTTCAGGGCACATGATCAGGCTATTTGTAGAGTCTTCTCCATAGCAATAACTAATAAAATAATATCATTCTTAAATAAATGAGTAAATAAAATAATGGAAATGTGAAGTTGGTAACATTAGAGTTAGTCAAAGCAGCCAAGAAAGAAAAAAGCAAAATAGCCTACCTCTATCTACAGCTGCATTAAAAAAAAAAAAACTTTCCCTTGCCATGCAGTCACATTTTATTGATTTTATTAGGATATCAGTAAACTTTCCCCTTTTACAAATTATCAAGAGAATAATAAATGAATGGAATCTATCCAAATCATGAGACCTGAAAGAATAATGTATGTATGTATGTATGTATGTAGGTAGGTAGGTAGGTAGGTAGGTAGGTAGTTTAAAGCAAAACTGAAAAGCAAGATTATTGGAAATTCAGGCTCTTAGACTTTTAGGAAAAATAAAATAGATTAATGTGTGCACAGAGCACAGATGCTCAGTTATAGGGCATTGGGTTAGCAATTCTTTTTATCATGAACTGGTCTTTAAAATCTGTTTACATTATTTTATTCAGCAAAGTCCATTCAGTTAAAAAAAGCTGATGTGATTTGGACTAGGAAAAAGATGGGTGAAAGGAAGGCAGGCAGGAAAACCCAAGTTCAAGTCCACTTAGAGCTTATTTTTTTAATTTAGAGCATATTTTTGTAGGGAAAAATATCCGAACCTCCAGACTGAATGCAACATATAAAGTAATGAAATAAATACAGGTAAATAAATCAACAAATGCACAGTCTCGGATATGGATTCAGCAAAAGAACCCAAATAGATTTTTCAGATTCACTCAATTTGGTCTGAGCCCTGACTGGGAATTCCACAATATTGACATTTAGAAAAAATGTGTGTGTATGTTTTTTTTAATGATAGCACTTTCGAGGTTTAATAGAGC